TGATTTGAATTTTAAATGTTTAAAATAAAATAAACTAAAAATTACGAAATTTTACAATTTTTTTGTTCTAATAATAATTTATATAACTAATAATATTAATAGGATGTCAAAAATTTAATTTAAAATTGGTTGTATTTAAATATAAAATTTAGTTTTTATAAAAAAAATTGAAAGCCCTGCAAAATATGTGGATGTTAATTGTAAAAAAGCTTTACAATAAAAGTATTCAGTACTTTAGGTATGGTTGATAAAGGGCTTTACCTAATTTTTTGTATGACTTCCTGTTTATTTTACTACACAAAAAATGTTGTTCATTTGTTAATTAATTAAGGGGAAATAGTGCCTTTTTGTAAAGGCTTTTGTTAAGATGAATTTGTACCTACTTATTGTTTAAAATATGATTATGATGATTTATAATATTTTTAAACAGAAATTTGATTATAGTTTTCAAGAAATTCTAATCCAAAGGTTAAAATTAAAAAGGATTTTAAAGAGAAAGAGTAGCGGCATAGTTTTGTGGAAATAACTATTTTGATACATAATTTGTTTATTAACTTTAAATACTTTATCCAACACATGACAGTTATGACTGTTATTATTAATGTCATTTTAGACAAGTAAACTATCAAATAACACACTAGTGTTTTATAATCCATAAGTTATGGACCATAACTCACTAGTGAGTTATGGATTATAACTCACGTTTATATTTAAAGTAGTATTCTATTTATTTATTACTATTGCAAGCAGAATTCACATTGATATTGAAATTAAAGGAAAACGCTAACGGTTTATTCGAATTTGACGTCATTGTAAAATTCGTTGGTTCATTGGAACCAGACGCTCTCATATCGATACAGCTGCTGATAGTGCTGGAAGACGCCGACGCATTAGAACCTTGTATTTTTTCTTCAATTCGTATTAGTTTATGCACCGATTCTTCTAGGTATCCTTCTGCTACCGTCGAGGACTTCCATCCTCCGTGACGCTTCAAAGTAGTCATGTTAGCCCCGGCATTGGCCAAAAGAGTCGCCGAAGACCTCAGGCAGTGACCGGTGTAGAGCGTTGGTTCCTCCAATTTCAAAACATTGCAATTCTTGTAGGTATCTTCGGCAACGTATTTATTCCCACACACTGGCTGGTACACCTCCCATTTTTGTAAAAAAATAAAAAAAACGGCTAGAACTAGTATTCTTTGGTCCCAAAGACATGTATTTTTTACTCAAATTGATCGGGTTGAATGGAAATTCTTCTTCAAGTATGGTGAAACTTCTCAATTTCTTGGTTTTAGTGTCTGGCAAAACTACGTGAAAATATTTCCCTTTGTCTTGAATATTTTCTATTTTTAAATTGACCAATTCATCGCATCTACAAGCACCGCTAATCCATATTATCAAAGCCACTTTCATCAACAGGTACTCGTCGTCGGGAGCTTCGTTCAAAAACTTCTCTATTTCAGGTCGTTCCAATGTCTTGGACTTCTTTGGTTTGTATCCCTGTGATTTGCTTTTCAAAAAACTCATTAGTTTGCCATATTTTGAAATGTCGATTTTTTTATAAAGGTGAATAGTCGAGCGAAGCATCGAGTATTTGGTCCATAGCGACGTTGGGGCTAATTTTTTTTTGCAAATAAGCCAATAGAACATTTTTATCGATACCTTTTATCTTGCGTGAATTCATCCAAGACTCAAACATTTTGAACTCCTTGTCGTAAGCATCTCGGGACTTTTCTGGCAAAATCTGCATCGCTGCTTCTTCCGCTTCCGTAAGGATATCCTCAGGAACGTAATTTTCATCGGTTTCCTCCATTTTCTATACGTTTTTTTCTTCAAAAAAGCTTCCCTTTTCTGCAGGGAAAACTGACAAGTGTCAAAATTTATTTAAACATTTGCTAACAATGTTTCACGCCCGTGGCAACCAAACAAACAACCTACTTTGACCAAAATGTAATAAAGTCACTGTCAGGTCATTCTGACATTTATAGGGTACTGAGACGCAAGTAGCTTTGATTTGATCACAAAGCTTATTAATTATTATCTCATAAAAAACGATTTCTTCCACTTGTTGGATAAAACATTGTACCTATGCCTGACGGCCTCGTGGTATAAATCTTTCTCGCGTGACTTATTTTCAACATAACACACTAGTACCATAAATAACTATTATTGGTTAACCAAAAGGCTATTAAACTTGGTCTTTCTGCCTGTTACAATTATACGTTGTATTAAGATGTTTACTATTTGAATTAAATTACAATTAATACCAGTAATAAAAAAGAAAAAAATCGGAAACAATAGTTATGTAACTTGAAAAAAAAGAATATAGAGAATTATACTTTAAAAAAGCATTATAATAATGCCTTTTTTTGTTTACTTGTAAGTGCAAACCACTGTTTTGTCAATACAATGTATTATTTATAAAAGCAGTAAATATCATAGAAATATAAACTAGGTATAATACTAAACCTTTATATTCTGAGGTTTTAAATTGACCTATAAGTTGTTTCGAATCCATTGCAATTCCCTAAACAAGACTATCTTATGAAAACAGTAAAAATCGATTTTCTATTCGTGTGACCTAGAACATTAGCCCTACCTACACCAACATTCACCCAACATAAAAACAAAACATAATCATTAAAATTTATATCTAAATGGGATCATCTCATTAATGCTACAACTATACAAATGCACAAAAAATGTATATGTTAAAAACTAATGTATTTATTTTTCATGTATTGCATCAATTTTTTTTTGTTTAAATAAAGTTCCTTTCTTGTAATACAACACTAAATGTGAAAATGATTTTATTATTTCAAAACAAAAATACAATAGTATTATAGTATATTATGTATCTTTTGTTTATCTTTGATAAACACCAATTTATACACGAAGCGAGTGCTTAAATTAATGAGTGTATAGAAATGTTTATAAAAGAGGCGCATACTATACTTTTTTTACGACAAATACTTATTATTATCTTAAAATGATTTAAATCAAAAATTTGTATAGAGCGCCATCTATGAAACAATAGGGGAAACTGTGTGTCACCGTCAAATGTCACATTTTTTTATTTTATAAACACAATTATAAAGGTTATAAATCGAAATGTATTTCTTGAAAATGTTCAGTTTTTCACAGTGAAAGTAAAGAAAATGTTTTATGATGACTTTACAGTAGAGTCCGTGCCCGAATATAAGTTATAGTTTACTGCCGGCTAAATTAAAAGGTCATTACAATGTTCATATAAACTTTTCAAATATTGGCGTTGAGAAACTATTTAATATTTTTGTATTTTTGTATTGAGATAATAAAATAATTTTCACATTTAGTACCTATTACTTTACAACAAAGGCAATTTATTTTAACGATTGTATGACATTTGACAACTGTCAACTAACTTAAAACTAACTTCAGTCCGTGACTAAAAACCTGTTGCTAACTTCAGCCCGTGACTAAAGCGCCATAAAGCCACAACTTGTCAATGTGTATTTAAAAGGTCACTTAGTGTCATGCAAACATGTACGATAAAGGGTGTTTTAAAGGTAGGAGTTTTTTAATGCCAATATTTGAAAAGTACTTATAAAACATGTTCCTCACTTTTACTGTGAAAAACTGTTGTTAGTCCATTTTCAAGGAATACATTTCGATTTACACATAAAAATTTGACATTTTTATATAAAATAAAACAGATTCCCAAGTTGGTTACTCTATTGTTATACAGGGTGTTATGTAATTAATGTTATATATTAAAATACTGAATACTTTTTGACATAAGGAATAAAGGAAAAATATTTAAAAAAACATTTTTCCAAAGATAAAGAAAAAATATGCATTAGAAGTTTTTTATATTTTTTGTGATACGCCACTGGTTACACACTAGGTTTATCTCTGCACACCTGTATTTTGTGAGTACATAGATACCAACCAACAAAGTAGCTGCGCGTTGCCAGATGTAAAAAATTGTTACTAAAAATTTTTTTTGCAAAAAATAAATAAAAACTCAATAAATACAAAAGTTTTATGCCCTTAAAGCTCTAATACCCTTCTGTATTTATTTACTGATCCAGCTATTAGCTTAAGCAATGATTAGAAAATTTAGTACCTTTGAAATTTGAAATCCATAACCACAAAATTAATTTTTTCATCAGTTTTTTTCTCTGTTTACTCAGATGAAATTGGGACCAGTTCACAGGTTAAACTTTAAACATTTAATTTGTGTAAATAAATCCAAAAGCACTTCCCTTAGTTAAGATATTTACAATTTGAAAACATAACCTAAAATTTAAAAGAAATGCACTAGATTCTGTCATAAAAGTTGGCAGATTTTGTTTGAATTTACCTTCAGTACAAAAATGAAATAACCAACAATTAATAAAAACGCCAAATTGACAATTTGCATTGTTAATTTTGTCATTTTTGTAATTAAGCTAAATTTAAACAATGTTTGTCAACTTTTTTGAGAGATTTTTCAAACACTGTTGTTACCAACCATAACATAATAAATCCACCAGATTAACCTAAAGTTCCTAGTCGATCAGTGGCGTACTTTTTGGTAGGATAAAGGTTATTATAAATTATTTTTAGACTTTTTTAGAAAAAAAAGTTTCAGGTGCTTCTTTATGGACCCTAAGGAACAACCCATTTTAATATATAACATTAATTACATAACACCATGTACTCCAGACAAATATTTAATTAACCATATTTATATAATAATAATGAGTATTTGTCGTAAAAAAGTAGATTATGCAACTCGTTTATATTATAAAGCTCGCTCGTGCCTTCCTTAAGAGATTGATTATTTCTTAGGCTTTTAAAATGATTTTGACCTATCGGGTAAAAATTTCTACCTCCTAGTCTGTACAAAAAACCTGTTTGGACCAATAGAAAAATTTGACTTCTATCAGATCTATATAGCCTCACCTTTTACTTTCATGTATCGTTGTAACAAATAAAATTATACCTTGAAGATAAATAAATATTTTTTGTTTGTTGCAGGAACGTCTTCAACAGCAGTTGGACGAACAGGCCCAACGTTACGAAGAGCAGCTTACCGAACTGCATTCGGTGATAGCAGAACTTTCCCGAAAGCTCCATCAGCAACGAACAATGGCCATAGCGGAAGAGGACGAAGTTTCCGGTAAATTAAAATTGTTTTATATACTTTTTGCGATCAATAACTACCACATATTCGATCAGTAATTTAAAAATATAAAAAATTATATCAAATTTGTTTGCGAAGATATAACTGATTTTGAAATGTTTTTTTTAAAAATCCATATTTTTCTCAAAAATTAAGATAACGAGGTGAACCAAAAACAAAAATATTAAGAACAGATGTGACTTGATAATTAAAACTTCTACCATGATCTCTAAAATTCGTTTAAATCCGATATTATATAAAAAAGTTTTTTGCGATTGAAATTCATCGAAAATTTGTGTGGGTCGATTATTTTGCCTGTGAGTGATATGTTAGATACATTACTTATTTAAATATAAAACGTTTTTAAGCTAATTTCCAGTCATTAAAAGTATCAAAACATCGAATAACCATCAAAGTTTAAAATATTTCCTTTAAATTTAGCGCGCACCCCTTCCAACTTTAATTCTAAACGCTTAAATCATTGCCCGACCGCATAATAGGGAAATAGTAATCCCAGAAATTTGCGCTTCGTATACGTCACACATTGCCGATACAACATCATGCTCCCCACCGCTGCACGGTGCCGCCGGCACCCCCGCAAGGCGGGGATAATACGCGAATTTTTGTAGACATTGAGGCCCACAAAGTTGGGCTTGTACCACAGTATATGGAAGACAGCAGAGTCAGTCCCGAGATCTGTGCGGCTCGCTTATCAGCCGTTGTAAAAGACTGGGCGGGGCGTGAAATGTTTTAGTAAACAAAGCTTATTAATTAGATCTATGCGTGTTTATAGTTTCTTATTTCTGTTTAGTCTTTGCCTTAGCGTTAAAATGGAAAGTTGTGATAAAAATGCAAGCGTAAAATACATTATTGCGTTGTGAATTCATGTAAAAATAATTCAAATAATTATAAAAGATCATTTTTATTTTAGTATATTATTATATTATTACACAAATACCACAGTAAAAATCACAAAAAATATAAATAAAAATATTCATGTTTTTTTATAGTTCAGTGTTAAATCGTTGAGTTTCAAATACCTACTGTGCTTGTACATTATTATTTTGTTGTTGTGCGGTTGTGCCTTTATTAATCTCAAAATAATTATTGTAAGATAGGTAAAAATGAGCAGTACCTCCTGGGTAATGTGGAAACCTGCTGAAGGAATAAATAAAATTCCCACCTCGTCCCGCACTTTTTGTATTATTCTAGCTAAATTTTGAAAATTCTTCTCGTGAAAGAACATATTTTTAAATAATATATTTTTATTATTTAGATTCTGAACTGCTCCAAAAACGCGAGACTTTGAAAATTTCAAAAAAAATTGCCTGCGGTGCCATATAGCGGTACATGGGCCTCACCTTCACTGGAGTGTATAATAATAAGAAATAGGAATTGTTTGGTAATTTTTATTTTTTCACTTTGAATACAAACCAACTAAAATATGCTTAACCATTTTAACGAATAATAATTCAATCAAATTCAACATCAACATTATTATAGGTATACTCGTAAGTAATATCATAAGGGCATTTAATTTTTCCGAAAAGAATCGAAAAAACACGTTGCTAAGTAATATTTTAACAAAAAGCATGAGTGCTGGTGGCAACAAAAATCCGAGTCGAAGAGGAGGATTTTTGCACCTGCACGAATGCATTTTGTTAAAAAATATTACTTAGCATTGTGTTTTTTCCATTTTTTTCACAGGAAAAATTAGATGCCCGAATGGTATTTGACAAGACTATTTCATGAGTAACAGTTAACAATTAAAATATAAATTGCAATTGTTGGTGACAACAGCTGTCAAGTTTTGCCGCGGGTAAACTCGAATAAACTGCTGACAGGTGCTGTCACACAGTTTTTTCACCTAGAAACCATTTGTAATTCAAAATTGCGCGTTTGTGATTGGTGGAAATTAAGACGAGGGAAATAGTCAAAGTAATTTTTAGTCGAGACCGATTCATGTTCATGAATATATTTGTGAGTCTTGGTATTTTCAGCGTAACTCAAATCTAGCCTGGGCATTTTCGGCGAAACTCGACTGTTCCCTGTTCAAAATTTGACTCATTTCGAACTTTTGCACCAGGTTGAATATTTGAGATTCCACAATGTTTCTATTGTACGGAGAGAATTGTTTGACTTTGGCGGCGATTCCTTTAAAAAATGCCTCGGTGGAATTGGACGACATTTCAACAGATGCATTTTTCTGCGTTTGATTTTCTTTGGGCGTTTGCGTAATCTCTGTTGCCGACCGCATAATAGGGAAATAGTAATCCCAGAAATTTGCGCTTTATATACGTCACACATTGCCGATACATCATGCTCCCCACCGCTGCACGGTGCCGCCGGCACCCCCGCAAGGCGGGGATAATACGCGAATTTTTGTAGACATTGAGGCCCACAAAGTTGGGCTTGTACCACAGTATATGGAAGACAGCAGAGTCAGTCCCGAGATCTGTGCGGTTCGCTTATCAGCCGTTGTAAAAGACTGGGCGGGGCGTGGAATGTTTTAGTAAACAAAGCTTATTAATTAGATCTATGCGTGTTTATAGTTTCTTATTTCTGTTTAGTCTTTGCCTTAGCGTTAAAAATGGAAAGTTGTGATAAAAATGCAAGCGTAAAATACATTATTGCGTTGTGAATTCATGTAAAAATAATTCAAATAATTATAAAAGATCATTTTTATTTTAGTATATTATTATATTATTACACAAATACCACAGTAAAAATCACAAAAAATATAAATAAAAATATTCATGTTTTTTTTATAGTTCAGTGTTAAATCGTTGAGTTTCAAATACCTACTGTGCTATATAATTATTGTAAGATAGGTAAAAATGAGCAGTACCTCCTGGGTAATGTGGAAACCTAATAAAAATCCCACCTCGTCCCGCACTTTTTGTATTATTCTAGATAAATTTTGAAAATTCTTCTCGTGAAAGAACATATTTTTAAATAATATATTTTTATTATTTAGATTCTGAACTGCTCCAAAAACGCGAGACTGAAAATTTCAAAAAAAATTGCCTGCGGTGCCATATAGCGGTTCATGGGCCTCACCTTCACTGGAGTGTATAATAATAAGAAATAGGAATTGTTTGGTAATTTTTATTTTTTCACTTTGAATACAAACCTACTAAAATATGCTTAACCATTTTAACGAATAATAATTCAATCAAATTCAACATCAACATTATTATAGGTATACTCAAAGTAATTTTTAGTCGAGACCGATTCATGTTCGTGAATATATTTGTGAGTCTTGGTATTTTCAGCGTAACTCAAATCTGTAGCCTGGGCATTTTCGGCAAAACTCGACTGTTCCCTGTTCAAAATTTGACTCATTTCGAACTTTTGCACCAGGTTGAATATTTGAGATTCCACAATGTTTCTATTGTACGGAGAGAATTGTTTGACTTTGGCGGCGATTCCTTTAAAAAATGCCTCGGTGGAATTGGACGACACTTCAACAGATGCACTTTTTTGCGTTTGATTTTCTTTGGGCGTTTGCGAAATCTCTGTTGTCGGTCCCGCAGGGCAAATTTGATAAACCTCCACTTCCTCCTCAATTTCATGAATGTAGCTTTCGCTTCGTGTATTTTTATTCGTGTTGAGCAGAGGTTTCGCACGCTTTTTGTAAAACGGGATCAGAAACTCCAATTCGTCCTTCCATTTCCATCTTCTCGGCGGCGCTGAATCGCCCTGCTCCTTTTCCTTTTTAAGGTTCTTCCTGTATTGGTCGCGTAGCGAATACCATCTGCGCTTGCAGACGTTCTCTGAAAGTTAATAGGTAATAAGTTAAGCATATATATAGGTCAAGGATTTATAATTTTGACTGCTCATGTAACATTTAACATTGTGAAATCGAAAATTTAATTTTAACAATCCAAGCAGCATTTTTGGTTCCAAAAACCATTACCAAAGTGGTGATAACTTTAAATTAGTTAAGTATACTAAACAGCTACTTTAATTTTTACTTAAAAGTAATTCTAACTGTTAAATAGCAATATTTTGTAGCAGAAACTTCATTCTTTCTTTAACTACGGTTTCGCGAAAGGATCGAACGGTCGATTTGCAAGGGTTTAAGAAATCGCTTGAAACTTTTTTACCTTATTTCTACATCTAAATTTTTTCAAAAAAAAAATCTCGTCCATTGACAACTTTGTTTTTATTTTTATTTTTTTCTTCGCTGTGTTCAAAAAGTAAAAAATTTTTTTTAAATAACTTTTTTATTTTAAAACGTATCGATTTGAAATTTGGACAAAATGTAAATCATACTAATGACAATTAATCCATGAAAAAAAATTGTTTATATTATAACGTACAGGGGGCGCTGGTGATATTTTAGTTTACAATTTTTAAAGGGTAAATAATCGAAGAAGCAACTTTGTTTTATAAATTTGAGTATAACACGTTAAAGTATTGATATTTGACTATTATTTGATATATTAACTTTTTTATGCAAATGATGTTTCTGTGGCCAGGATCAGTTTTGAATTAGCAGTATTCATAAATATTTAGTTTAATATATTTTGTCATTTTTATTCAAATATTGTTGTATCTTTTATTAATAATTAAGTATAGCATCACATAAATGATGTTTAATATACAGGGTGTTTCACTTAATTAGTCCGTTGGAAGTTTCTAGGGAATCGCGAAAGACATCGATTTAAAATTTTAATACCGTAAATTATTCGCTTTAGATTTTTTTCCTAAATTATTTTGAACAAAATAATACTTCCTGTTTTACCGGAATACCTCATATATTTTCACATAAAATTCTGAGTCAAAAGGCTTTACCATTCTATACCTAAAGTCAATATTTGTTGAGTTATTAATTTTTCAATCAAATAGTTTAATTAATTTTAAACAATCACAGATTTGGTGGTAACCATGGATACTGTCACATTAAAGCACATGTTGAATTTCAGAGGTTTCTGATACAAAATAGTATTGAAAATATTAGAAATTGTTAAATGGTTCTGAAATTTTAACTTTAGTAAAGAGTTACTATAGGTAATGTTCTATTTGATTATGTTAAAACATACAGTTTTATAATAAAAGCGTTATTATTGTTTGAAGTTTGCCTTATTTCAAGTGGTTTTTCTCAAGGTATTTGTTGAAAAACCTTTAAAAAACTAAACAATGTTTTAATATTCCAAAAATTCCAACCCCATGCGAGCAAACATAATAACAAACAAATTAGAGGCTATTTTTGATTAACGTGCATTTTAACGAAAAAAATTAATATCTTGAAAACTATTGACTTTATATATAGTCTAATTCATATTGTATATGCTATTAAAATTTCAAATCCATATCGTTTGCGTTTCTCCAGAAACACCCTGTATAGCATTATATTAAATATAAAAAAATGCAAAATAATTACTTACAAAAAATCGAAAAACAACTGAATAAAAAATATAGATACCTATATCTAAATAGCCGATTGCAATATAAAAAGTCTTAATTCTAATTTATTTATTGGGTAAATACACAGACTGTCTGTGGGTAAATATTACTTTCCTCAGTTAGGAATTAAAATTGAAGCTTGCTTATCGAGTAAAAAATAAATTGAAGTTTGGTTGTGGAGCAAAAAATAAAATTAAAGAAGGTTATAATTTATAACTTGCTGACACTGTCTATAATAATTATTAATATTTAGTATATTCATTTTAAATAAATTAATATTTTAAGTTTATAGTACACTTATAAATTGAAACGCAATCAGTCATTTGTAACTTATAAACTGAACTGTTAAATTATCATCATGCTTCCAATGGGAGGTTACCATAGAGAAAAGTCTGATGCCTACTATGATCAAAATTTGTAAACTTAAAAAAAAATAAAATTTATAAATAAAACTAATTTTAGCTCAATCTATGGCGATTTTTTTAAATAAATATGTAAGAATTGTATGTTATATATAAAATATTGTATATAATACATTATCTTATAAAACTAGATAAAAGAATTTATAATTTGTAAAACACGTTAGTATTACGCTCTTTAAAGGCCTTACTTAAAAATGGTGTCTCTCGTAGAAACATAATTTGCATTTAGAAGTTTATTTATAAAATAATAGTTAATTATAATTAATACTGATAATTATCAGTACTTTAATGTGATATACTCAAAATTATAAAACAACGTTGCCTCTTCGACTTTTTAACCCTTAAAAATGGTAAAATTTTAAATTAAATTGTCCCCCGCGCCCCCTGTACGTTAAAATCTAAAAAAAATAATACGTGGATTTATTGCCACTAATAAGGTCTACATTTTATCTTAATTTCAAATCGATGCGTTTTTAAATATAAATGTTATTACAAAATATCGAAATTTATCTATTTTTAACACAGTAGAGTGGCTTAAGGCCTGAAAACCACAGCGGTCAATGGATGATTTTTTTTTTTTTTAAATGTACCATTTAGATGTACAAACAAGGTAAAAAAATATATTCAATTCTGGCATCACTTACAAACAAATGTCCAAAATTTGTTCGATTTTTACGCGAAACCATAGTTAAATGGTTACTATAAAGTAATAAACATTTAAGTAAAACTTGGTTGCCCCCAAGAAGACTTTGCAACTTTAAAAAAGGTGTTATAAGTAAAAAAACTTTCAAGTAAATTAAATTTTGTAGCAGTTACTTTTGGTTGCTACCTAAAGATTTCATTATAATTATTTTTACTTTGTAGTCCCTTTTCAAGTTAAAATTTCGAAACTGGAACATGAGTTAAAAACTACAAAGTTAATAACTTAAAAGTTATTATTTTAGTATTTGAAACGTTTATGGTACTAACCAAAACTACCGTAAAGTAAAGTAATGTGGAAAAACTTTCAAGTAGGGAAAACTACTTCAAAGGAAATACGTGGTAATGTAAATAATAAATTATTTTAATGATTTAATGATCTAGGTCTTAATCAACAAACTTTTAGGATTGATAGAGCTTTAAAAAATAATTATTTTTTATTTTAAGGTATTTCCATTGTGTTTGTTCCTATATATCAAGATACGTTAGTATACAAAATTAGGTATTTATAACTCAAACAAAATGTCAATAATAATTTGTATAGAAAACCTTTTATAACGTCATGAATCGCGTAACGGGCGTGACATGAAAATCGGTAAATTTAACCAAGTTGGCTTCTAAAGTTGATACTGTAAAATTTTTGATGAAAGCATTTAGTAATAATTTATAACATTTAGTAACCATAGAAGGTAGAATGATATCTAATTATTTAAAAAAATATATAAATAAATAACAACAATACAATTGAAGACTTTCTTTCAAAAACCGCACATGTCACAAAATGCTCAAATCGAGCTAAATGTGCCATCCAATAGCATTTAACACATTTTTTAAAGTTTTTTATTTATCCTAAAAAATGCAGATTTTGGACATCTTTAATTGTGTTTTTTTAAATAATTTACTTTAAAAACAAAATTATGGTAGTCACCAAATAAATCAAAACAAATATCCCTAGTGTTACCGGATCTTCTAGACGAGAATGACAGATTGATAATTTTGGTTGTACACAGTCAGCAAATAAATCAAACCAAATATTCCTATAAATCAAACCAAATATACCTAGATAAATCAGTGTTCGTAATCCAGTGTTGCCAAATCTTCTAGACGAGAATGACAGATTGATAATTTTGGTTGGACACGGTCCATTATTGTAAAACTGTGCGGTGAAAGTTAACAAAAATTTATATGGCACTTCGACAGGCATACGTCCATACAAGAAACAAAAATCATTAATTTTTCAATGTCACGTTAGAAGATATGCATTAATTAAAGAGATGGGCTGTATATGAGATGTATTTAATTAAAGCATATCTTATGGCATGACAATAAGAAATCGATTATTTTTCTTCATTTGCACTTATACCTGTACAATTGGAATTTAATGTAATGGTTTAATTTAATATTTATATCAAGAAATTGCAATAAATAATTATAAAAATTGTTTTGCGTATTTTTAAAAAATTAAACTATTAAAGTATTTTTTTAGTACCTACTGTTAAATAATTTTTTTTAAAGGCTTTCCAATAATGTATCACAAAGAGGGTGTTGTTTAGTAAAGGTTTTTTAGGTCCAGACTTATAGAGCAATGCTCGTTTTTAAATAGACCCCCTGTGTAAAAAGCGTTATTTTAAATTCTTAAATAAATTGAACTCGGTCATGACCCAAACGAAAAAGTTTTAATTAAATGGTCGATAAAACGATTATGCCTAATTTTAAACGTAATTGAATGCAAACAGATCTAACCCATCTACAATTTAATAATTATTTAAAGCTTTAATCACTTGCCTGAAATTCTGAGCTCTTTCGATATCTGCAACCATAACTGTTGCTTGTAGCTCGAGTCCGAATACTTTTTGTGATTATAATCGTACAAAGCTCGGAAACTTTTCACAAACTCAATGAGCTTATCGTCATCCATTTTAATTTGACGTTTACTGCCAGTCAAATATCAGTTTCGTGTAATCAAATGGCTGTGGCCTGCATGGCTAGGCACGGATTTTAAACGTTATTAATTAACTCCTGCATTTAGGTAATTCAGTTATTTTGCAATTTATGACACGTATTAAATAATTGGATTACTGGTTTATAATTAAAATGTTCCGAAATCAATTGAATGCATCATCCTTTAATATAATATAGGATAATGCTAACAGTTTGGTAAAGTGGATCATGTTTTAAATCTTTTAACACTTTATTTTTGAAGACATTTTATATTTACTAATGTTCTACGTAGTATGAGTATGTATATAAGAGTCGTATAACCGTTTTTACTGTATTTGGGTCTCGAGAGCGAATAGTTTGAATAATCTCTTCCGGTTTCGCCGGGCTGTTGCTATACGCCCAGTAGGTAGGACGGGAGGGATAGACAGTTTGGTGTTTGGGGGACAATTACGCCGACTCATCTGTGTACGAGGCGGAATCCCCCCAGACCGGGAAATTTTTATGTATTCTGGCTTCTTCTAGTTTTTATAATCAAATATGGGCTGATTATAAAAACTAGAGGAAGCCAGAATACATAAAAATGCCCTAAACTTGTTAACCTCATACACAAAGGAAAGAAAAATGTACACAACCCTGGGAAAAATAAAAAGTAATTTGCAAGACATCAACTTCGGAGTTCCACAAGGGTCAACACTTGGCCCTTTCCTGTACATAATCTACATAAACGATATTTGCAAACTCAACCTTAATGGCAAACATATGATGTACGCAGACGATCTCGCAATTTTCTATCTTAACAAAAACGATGAAACGGCCAAACAAAATATAGAAAAAGACTTAAACAAACTACAGTGGACGAACACTAACTTTTTGACACTTGAATGAATGAAAAAAAATGCTACATAATTCACATAGAAAAAAGACCAAAGCCTAAAGGGTACAACAAAACAACAAAATTAATAAACATAGAGGAACTAAGACACACGGAGAGAAATGTATAGTAAATTTTAGATAGTAAAAAAAATATAGTAAAATTTACTTTAACAAATTTTTAGGGTAACAATATCAAATGTAAGGTGTGCATCTAATATTATAATATATTACACATTAATAAAAAATATAGTAAAAATAAAGATACTTTTATGTTTAAGGTAAATAAACAATATATTTAAATATAATATACAATATAGTAACTCATGACATTTTAAACATTCAATTTTCTTAGTTTCTTCAATAAACTTTCTTGACCCATTACTGGTAATACTTATAAGAAAGAATTGAACCTACTTGGTTGCATAGTATGTACTGATTCGTGGCCTTTGCCGCGACGCGTCGTTAGACGGTGTGGATCACGTGATGTTCTTACATCTCGCCTCTGTTGGCTTACCAACCATGTTATATAAGCTCAGGTATTTCTTTGTTTTGGGTGTGTTTCACTACTACAAGTTGCTCGACAGTGTCGTGTCGACACTGATGATACCCAATATAGGTCAAAACACCTGTCTGTCGGTATTTGAAGTTGATGGAACGCACTCAAAACAAAAAACTTTGGTGAGGTGTAGGTTCAATTCTTTCTCATAACATTTTTGTATATTAAAAAGTACAATAAATATGTTTCAATTTTTAATTGTTAGCCTATAAAAATATTCGATTTTAAAATATTTTATATTTAAAATGGCAACATAATATTTTAAAATTTACTATACTTATTAGTAATGGAAAAAATCTAATTATCTCATCAAGAGTTCGAACGTGACTGGTATTTAGTGTAACGGGGGGTTTTTGTGTCGCGTGCTTGTGGTTGCTATACTTTTACTACTTATTCCTTGGTTGGCCTACGGGAGCTTTGGGTGTTTGGAACCCGTTACAAATTACTAATCTAATCTGACCTTTTAGATCGTCGTGGCTTCGGCTGGAGGATGTCGGTGAGACGAGTCGAAGGCGAAGTAATCCTATATGCATATTGACACACTTAACTCACTCGCGTCGAGTCACGCGGAAACTTCATACACGATTACCGTTCACTATATACTTACTTTCGACTTAACTTGATTCAGGGCTATTTCTTATACAACAGACAGAGCAATAAAGCGATATTTCAAACCATATAAATATATTAACAAACAAAGGGTTAACAAAAAAAATGAAAAGGTATAAACAAGTAAAATTAAGTTACATTAAAATTAAAAATAGATAATTAAAGTTACTCCAGAGATTTAATTTACAAGAACTAGTTTACAAAACAAATTAGAACTCTAGATCAAGAAATTTAACAAAAAGTAAACTAAAAGAAAATGTAACAAATAATTAACTAAGCAAATGCGCGGTGCGATTTGCTCTATAGAGTAAGTAACTATAATTAAACAAAACTATTCGGAGTGAATCTAATATAAACAAGTTGGTTTGAAATACAATAATTACTATAAGTACCTTACACTGAATCAAATGAAATTGGCTGATACGGACTGGCGAGGATCTGCGACGATTTTGAAAGCGCGATCAATTTTAGATAAGAACTGGCGAGTCAAAGGTTGTGTTGGTTTTTTATAGACTATTTTAGGGAAAAATTGGAAGGGATTAATTCTTAAAGACCATTGGTCAAAATCATGGTAACTCCCCCCCGCAAGGGTCATAGAAAATTGACTGGTTCAAAAGGTCATAAACTCTCATACCAACCGAAAAGGACGAAAGGTTATTGGCTTTAACCTAAGCGGTCAAATAATTCTTAAGGGAGGAGGCGTTAACCTTTGACTTAAGTCGGAAACATGCTACTTGAAAGGTCGGGAACAAACAAGGTGGGAATTTGACTAGGCATTGGGCGGAGTTTCCGCCATTGTCGCCAACTTCAAGATAATTTATAATTTACTAGATTTGATAATAATCTTAAGATGATTTAAAAGTAACAAAGGTTGCCTAATGATTGAATCGACTGTTTATTAAATCATATTACTGAGTTTGATTTTATTGGGCATTCCTTTGGTTCAAGCCATGCTTATGATTTTATCCATCTACACTTAATTTATATTGGCTGATCGAGAGTTATCTTTTAATAAGCAGCCTCGCTTTCATATTTACAATACAATCTACCTAATCTTACGTCTTATTTGTAGTCTATAATCTCCTATTTCTAGGTTTAGTTTTCACTGAATCAATTCGTTACTTTTTATTAATTATATTAATTTTATTATATTTTTGACGCGTTTTATTTACTTCTTAAACTTCTTCGTTTAAAGAAAGTGTTGCTGCCATATGTTTGGCGGCTTTGGCAAAATAAAGATAGCCTGCAATATGGATTTATGGCTTTATGGCCTCTATTTGAATTTTCTTTAAACACGACCCTATAAATTTGTTTTTGACGTTACATTTGAAATATCCCTTTTCAAAATTACTTATTTCGCACATGTTAAAGCTTTCTAAACCTTTCTAAGAAACTCTTAATTTCTGTTTTTTTCCAAGAATTATTTTAACGGTTTTTTCGAACTTTCTCCCTGTTACATTAGTAATGTACTATAATTGTATAATGTATTTAGTAATGTAGTATAATTTTTATTACAGAGTCTTGTACAAGTGTCCACGACGACTCCATAACGTGTCCATTGGAAGTGAGCGAACTCGAACCAGTCGATCACGATTTATCCGATCCGGACAGCAAACTGCCCGTAAGTAAACACAAATGCCCGCAAAGTTCTCGCTAATGTTTTAACAAAACTTGCAGCTATCCGAAAGTCCATTAGAGCTGCCCGAGCCGAAGCTGACCTCGTCGCATCACGAACACAACGAGCTGTCCCCGTTCACGGAAATAGTCGAGCCGTTAAAGCAGGAGATAACCAGCCTGAAAGCGCAGCTGCACGATGCCCACATCAAGTTGGCGCAAATCACCTTGGACAAGATCGAGGAGATCATAGAGGAGGAGACGATCACCAACAGCAAGAATTTGGATTCGCCGGAATCCCATCTCGAGTTGGACTGCGAGCCGAAAATCTATCAGGACGATAGAGTGGATATCAAGTATGGCAGTATAGTGCCGATACACAGGACCAATATCAAGAACAAGTCGGCGTTCAAAAACACGCCCGTTACCAAGGTATTTAACTGCATGTATTTGATTTTTAAGAAAGAATTGAACCTACACCTACACCTCGCCAAAGTTTTTTGTTTAGAGTGCGTTCCACCAACTTCAAAGTAGTAGTAGTAGTGGAAGACACTCAAAACAAAGGACTTCCTGAGCTTATATGCTCGGTTGGTAAGCCAACAGAGGCGAGATGTAAGAACATCACGTGATCCACACCGTCTAACGACGCGACGTGGCCTTTGATTTTTTAAATTTATTATTTTACAGTTCCTACCCAGCAAACATATTGTCATTGACCAGTAACACTATGATAGTTTTATAAACTTTTTTAATAACATTGAGTACCTACTCCGGCCTAATTTTGGGCCGCTTATTTTAAAAATGTCACTCGTTTTGCTCTTGGACGCCTACGAATTAAAATAAGTGCGTAATAAAATGCTCTGCTCAATCACCTCAAGTTTTTTTGTTAATATTTTAATTATTTATTAAATTATTTTGCCTTCAATTTATCTTGAATTTACTGTAGTAATCGGTATACGTAAAATAAATAGTATTTGACTTACCGGTATGGCATTTTAAGTACTAAAACTAAAATTATAATGTATTTTATGTAAAAAAACTAAAACTTAAACTATTATTTGACATTTTATTGTCGTTTAGTTCAGTTATTAAATTGAAAAAGCAACAAAGTAAAGAATTTTCGGTATGAAAATTATCTTTGACAATTCCAATCCTGTCAATTTAAACCCATTAAAAACTGTCAAAAATACGGTTTGCTGACAAATAAAAAGGAAGGAACAAAAATGCAAATGTCCAAAATTAGCGAATATACATATATATATATATATTTTTGCTATAACCAATGCTCAAGATTTACAGTTACTTGGTGAAATCGTTCTCCATGTTCATCAGATTTAGTAGGCAAATTTACCGAGATTAAAATGAAGAAAATGTAGGTATTTTTAAAGATATTAACGTTAATTGAAAAGCGAAGAGCATTTCTTCAATGATAGGCGCCAATTTTTGGCCCGATATGATAAGATTTAAGAAATTTAAGATTGAATTTTTGGGTACTTTAGGAATGATGAAATATCGAATAATTGTCGAAAAATAATGCCCTTTAATTTAGTAATTTAAAAGAAACGAGACAAAAATTTTAAAAAATAATACTTTTTACAAAAAAATACATTAGAATTTTAGTTTTGGTATTTCAAATGCCATTTATTTGGTCTAAATATTTTCTATGAGGGATATAATACTACTACTGCTACAATAGAACAAAAAATTTAAAATATAAATATTTTCTATTGACATATACCTACCGATGACTTTGTAGACTCTGTACAATTTTGAAAAAAATATACAGGAGTCAGTACATACAGTGTAACCCATTTAAAATCTTTATTTATTGTGCGATTTTAACAGGATTTGTTTTAAAGTTTAGATCTTGATAAACTGTATTTTTGGAGCGAAAAAAAGATATTTTTACAAAATACAAGGCACTTTTTAAGAATACATTTTTATGAATTCATATTAGCGATTTTTTTAAACAAAATCTAAGCACGGCACTGGATTCACCACCCCTCAAAATGACCCTGTACTAAATGTCATCAAAAAATTTAAGTAGAAAAATGAACAATAATAATTAAAAAATATTATTCTGTCAAGTTATCCATGAAAAAAACATTTAAATAAAATTAAACTAATAGTAATGTGGTACTATTACTATAAGTTTAATTTTATTTCAATATTTTTTTATGGATAACTTGATAAAATAAATTTTTGTAGATATTATTGTGCATTTTTATACTTAAAATTTTTCAATAAAATTTAGTAAAGGGAGGTTTTGAGGGGTGGTGAATCCAGTGCCGTGCTTAGATTTTGTTTAAAAAAATCGCTAACCCTTACACTCCTGAGAAATTAAAATTAAAATTTTAAAGCAAAATTAAAGTTTTCTCGACAAAATTGCTTTAATATGAAAACCAAAATAAAAAAATTTTTTTGAAGAGTCAAAGAATTAACCTTTCCTGAAGACACTTTAAGCATTCTACATTAAATAAAGCCATTTTTGTAATAAAAAGACAATGATTTACTATTAGACGCAATGATGTAAAGAACTAGCACGCTTAAATTGCCATCCAAAACAAAAACAAGGCGGAAATTGGTGAGCGCATGCTCTTGTCTGCGTAGTAAACACAAATCACAATTGTACGATTGAGGAGTGGGAGCTCCACTGTATCATTTTAACCCATAAAGTATATGTACATAAGGAAGTCACAATTGTAGCCACCTGGAGCGTAAGGGCTAATATGAATTCTTAAAAATTTACTCTTAAAAACTGCCATAGTAAGCCTTGATTTTGTACAAATATGGCGTTTTTTGCTCCATAAATACAGTTTATCAATATCTACACAGTGTAGACTACACTTCAAAATAAATCCGGTTAAAATCGCACCCTAAATAAAGGTTTTACAGGGGTGAGTCACAAACAAATGGGTCACACTGTATATACAATAGATTTAGGGCAAAATAATTAATTAAGTAGTCAAAATATTAACGAAAAAACTTACATTTTAAGATAATTGGGCAGGCCTACTTTGTCAGTTTTTGAGAGTAAATTTTTAAGAATTCATGTTAGCGATTCAAAAACCCCTCAAAACGACCCTCTATTAATTTTATTTTTTATTAAGTGTATTGAAATAAATCAAGATACATACACCTTAAGATAGTGCGCATGTTGGGCGGGGCTTAGATACGTCACTTGATGAGTGTTTTTAAATCTTTAACTTGCTTTTTAATTATCTGCTGCTAAAATTCTTGTTTTTGCGATGCTTTTGGATGTTATTTGCTCTATTTTTTGTTTAACTTGTTTTTTTGTGTTCGGTAAGGTTCGAATTACTTTTCAGTGTTCAAATTATTGTTTTTGCGTTGTGTTAACCTGTTCTGTTTGTTTATTATTGTTTTTGTGTTGCATTAACTTGTTCTGTTTGTGTTTTAGTTTGTGTCGTGCCATTTGCATTTATTAAAATGCGGTGTGGCATATTTGGATGCAATTCGGACAACCAGTCCAAGAAAAACCCTTTAAATAAAAACATTAAATTTCAACGATTCCCGAAAAAGTTTGATTTGTGGAAACAGTGTTTAAATGCCACAAAAATAATAGACAATATTAACGTTAAGACCGCTTCTGTTTCCTATAAACATTTTGTGGACAGTGACTATAAGTTTAATTTAAAACACCAACGCGTTGCAACGCTTAAACTACAGCCCTAAATGTTATCAAGGATTGAAAGCATCTATCTATAACACTTTCTTCAATATTAAGTTTAATAAAAACGCATGTCCAGATATTTCTCTATTTTCTTTAATAATATTACTATTATTCGTGTATTCTCACGGCAACTACTCATCAAGTGACGTCATGGGACGAACCAAAACTCGTACACGGGAGCATCCAGCCCTGGAAATAATTGGTGGATTAGAAGGGGTGACTAAAAGCTAGGGGTGTGCGAATCGAATATTTCGAATAATTCGCGAAATAATGAAATATCTCTGGATTTTCAATTGCTTCAATTTAAATTAAATCGTGTATCGAAATATTCTACTTACGAATAATATAATTTTCGATAAAAAAAACAATTACCCAGAGAGAAAAAAATCTATAAGAAAAAGGTTACTCATGTAATGTTTCAGTAAGTATCGTATTTATCATTTTTGCACAAAAATTTGTAGCAAATTTTCAAAGGTTTTTGTTATTTCATTCTCTTTCAAAAAAAACTATACTTAAGTAATTACTGTTCTATTTGTGTAACTATATTTCATGGTTTGAGTAAAATGTATATTGACTGTTAAATTCATATTTGAATATTGAACATAAGAAACCCTGAATTTAAAATACTCAAAAATTCGCTAATAATATAACAGTTTACCAATAATTCGAAAATATGTCGAATTATTCGAAAAAAATTCGAATAATTCGAAATTTTTCGAATTATTCGAGAATTTTCGAATAATTCGAATTGTCGAATTATTCGATTCGAGTTCCGAATCGAATATTAATATTCGATTCGGAACGAATAATTCGTAAGTTCGAATTATTCGTACACCCCTACTAAAAACTAATTGTAAAGAATTTTTGGAATTCTCTATTTTTGTTTCATTGTCGTTTTAAGTTTATATTTCGTTTTTTATTTTTAAAAACTAAGCATAAGAATATTTATACCATGTTACTGTTAGTTTAATTTTATTTCAATGTTTTTTTCATGGATAACAAAATAAATTTTTGTAAATAGTACCTAATTATTGGGCAATTTTTAATTTGGCTACAAAATCGTTCCTACTTAAATTTTTGAATAAAGTTTAGTATAGGGTCGTTTTGAGGGGTGGTGAATCCAGTGTAGTGCATAGATTTTTTAAATAGCTAAAATGAAATCTTACAAATTTAATCTTAAAAACTGGCATAGTATGCCTTGTATTTTGTAAAAATATGTTTTTTTGCTCCAAAAATACAGTTTATCAAGATCTACACTTTAAAACAAATCCGGTTAAAATCGCACAATAAATAAAGATTTTACAGGGGTGAGTCGCAAACAAATGGGTATGAAAGTAAATAAATACATTTTTGCTCTAACTAAATTCCAGACACTTGTGTCGGAACCGGTCTACGTCCTGTCTACACTGCAACAAGTTGCCAGCATAGAAAAAGGTTGCCAGAGTCTATAGACCGAGTTTCTGGTGTCTGTGTGTATAGATAGCTTAACTTGTAACCATTTTGAAATTGAAAAATCAAAACAACAAACTTTTTTAAAACATTTTCACGCATATCTCCGAGTTTTTCAATGTATTATTTGAATAAATGAATTTGATGTTTTGTTATGGAGGTGGCAGAACGCATTAAACTGAAACGTGCCACGGACGGCCACAGGGACGTAACCCCGAACGATTTGCTCGACGGCGACTTGTCAACAGCAGTGGCGGAGCACATAGTGGGCGATATTTTGAGGCAGTGCGACGTGCAAGCGGAAAAACATTCTTTGGACATCGAAATCCGAAGAGCGAACGCCAAACTGGAACACGCTAGGTCGCAAAACTCCGTATTGGCGCTTACGTTGCAGGAAACCAAGGCCTTCTGTGATAGGTAGGATTTTTTTACTTTTTTTCTTATTTTAGATTTATGGGTTAGTATGACACCCAAGCAGCATTTTTGGTTTCAAAAAACATTACCAAAGTGCTGATATCTTTAAATTAGTTAAGTATACAAAACAGCTACTTTAGAGTGGTCCAAAAAAAAAATTTTTGCTTATCATCTCAAAACCTTCTTTTGGGTATAAAAAAAATTTCCTCCAAAGCGCAACTTAATATCTCAATTCTCCACTAAGCTCAATGAATTTTTTTTTCGTTTTTATCCGGTAAAACGAGGAAAAATTTTTTTTTGAATTTTTCATCAATGATTCTTGTAGAAAATTTATTTTTCTACAAAAAAGTCCTGAAGTAGTTTTTTCGTAATCCTAACGGGTAAAAAGTTATTAAGCTTCAAATACTTGCTACTTAGTAAATTTGAAGGAAGATCGTTTCAAAGCAACTTTTTGAAAATATTAACATTATTTAATATAGAAAATTATTTAATATTTATAAAAATTAAATAAATTATCTATATTAAATAATGTCAATATCTTCAAAAAATTGCTTTGCTTTGAAATTTACTAAGTAGCAAGTATTTGAAGCTTAATAACTTTTTACCCGTTAGGATTACGAAAAAACTAGTTCAGGACTTTTTTGTAGAAAATTAAATTTTCTACAAGAATCATTGATGAGAAATTCAAAAAAAAAAATTCCTCGTTTTACCGGATAAAATCGAAAAAAAAATTGTTTTACGTGTTATTTACCTAAATGGGAAAATAAAAATTCATTGAGCTTAGTGGAGAATTGAGATATTAAGCTGCGCTTTGGAGGAAATTTTTTTTATACCCAAAAAAAGGTTTATTTATAAGCAAAAAAAATTTATTTTTTTGGACCACTCTACAGCTACTTTAGTTTTTACTTAAAAGTAATTCTAACTTTTAAATAGCAATATTTTGTAACAGAAACTTCATTCTTTCCTTAAATGGTTACTATAAAGTAATAAACATTTAAGTAAAACTTGGATGCCCCCAAGAAGACTTTGCAACTTTAAAAAAGGTGTTAAAAGTAAAAAAAACTTTCAAGTAAATTTAATTTGTAGCAGTTACTTTCGGTTGCTACCTAAATATTACATTATAATTATTTTTACTTTGTAGTCCCTTTGCAAGTTAAAATCTCGAAACTGGAACATGAGTTAAAAACTACAAAGTTAATAACTTAAAAGATATTTTTTTAGTATTTGGAACGTTTATGGTACTAACCAAAACTACCGTAAAGTAAATTAAGGTGGAAAAAAACTTTAAAGTAGCGAAAACTACTTCAAAGGAAAATGCTTCTTATCGGCTATTTTTTACTGTACAGTACCACGTGGTAATGTAAATTATTTTAATTGTTTGTAAATGGTTGTTTACTTTTTAATAAATAGTAATTTTGTTGGTATTATTAATAATTAAATAAAAAATTAATAATAAATATTAAGATTTTTTAATTATAAACATTATTAAATAAATAATTTGTTTATACTTAAATATTGATGAAGCGCATTTATTTTACAAAAACTAAATTCAGTTCAACAGTAAAATTTAAAGGGTTTATAAATTTACCTGCCTAATTAAACATTATATTGTTATTCTGGAAGTTATAAACTACCAGTACATATTTAATAAACGACGACATTGAAAAGCCAAGTCCGTATACCACTATAGTGGTTCCATTTAAAAAAGGAGGGATAGTATAATCTAATATAAGTTTGACAAAGACATGCATGCAGTTAATATAAAAGTAAAAACAAATAAATAAAAGTAATTATAACGCTCTAGCAACGATATTGAAACGTTCTAGTAACGTAGCAGCTGCGTTCCAAATAGTAGCAGGGTTTATAGCTAGTGACATATTTAAATATGGGAAAGTATCGTCTAGAATTTTTTTGACAATCCTCTTTTATTGACGATTTTTAGACGATATCATCAAATATTGATGATATCGCCTATAAAGTCGTTTAAAATAGAAGATCGCCTGTTATTTTTGTTGACGATCGTCAATAAAAATACGCGATCGTCATTGTAAAATGACGATCGTCTATCTAAACGTTGACGATCGTCATATAAATCAGGCGAGTGTGTATTCTAAGCAATCCATCGTCTTCAGAAAATGAAGATCGCCTTTTGCAATTGTCTTTAAAAGAAATAATCGTGAATTTCACAATCTTAAAACTAGGAAATCTCTTTTAATAAACAATGATTTTTAAATTAATGTATAAATTTTAATTATTAATAGAAAGTATACTCACTATATATATTATAATTATAATTGTATAATTATTTTATAATTTTTAAATTCTTTTAATTAAAAAAATTTAAATGGACATTTTTAGTAATTTTTAAATCATTAATATATAAGGTGATCACTTTAAATTGGGCAAAAATTTAAAAGGCGATTTCTTCGGTTATTTTATATATATTGTACTGTGATGATTTTTGCAAATCCGATTTGTTTTGAATTAGTTTAATTATTTTACTTTTTAACAAAAAATTTAGGGGTGATTTTTTGGGTTATTTAAATAATATTTAGTAGTATTTAGTGTACTAAACTAGCTATAGCTAATTTTTTAAAAGGAGCTTTGTTTTGAAGATACAGGGCGATATAATTTTATAAAATTCCAAATCATCACAGTACATGTGCACATGCGTATGATGATTTTGCATTAAAAAAAGTTGTTTTAACCTTTTTTTTTTGCAAAATATTATTAAAATAACCCAAGGAAATTCAAAGTTTTGCTTTCATGGATGCAATAATTGATGATAATAAAAAAAGTTTTTTGATTTTTAATCGTACATATTAGGAAAGCAACAAATATAATTTCTATTAATATTATCATCGATATTAGCGATGGTCATAAAAATACATTTTTCGACAATATTTTCAAAATGTATTAATTCTAGAGGAGCATACAAGTCAGCTGATCAGATGCACATGTTACAATGTGGGGGATCGGGTTAAAGTGACTTAAAATTAATTTAACTTAATTTTAAGAAATTATTCTTTTTTCTTATTTATTTTGAACCATTAACAATTAGTACTTAAAATTCGACGAATGAAGATTACATATCACAATTGTCTTTTAAATACTTATTTTTAAAACAATGTCTTTCTATTGCGATCGTCATTGGTCGATATTTTCTCGTTTTTCGAATTCAAGTTGATCGTCTTTTGAAGACGATCGTCTTTTGAGGCGATCATTATTTGGACGAATTTTCGTCTTTAAGGCGATCGTCATTGGACGAATTTTCGTCTTTTTTTTGACGATCTTAGACGATACTTTCCCATGGGATTGTTACCTTTTTGGAACTCAATAATTGTTCCCCACTTTAGTCGTAACTTAGTAATAAAAGAGTAATATAAATAGACCGGCGACTGTCGCAAAACACTTTTAAGTTTCTTCAATAGTTCCACATACGTAACAAACGCTTGGGCATCGAAATGGGTCGCGTTCAAAATCAATTTGGCGTAATTTATACATTAGGGTGATTCAAAAAAATCGAATATTTTTTTACTTTCGATTTTTTTTAATCACCCTAATATACATTTATTTTAGGTTGGCACTGTTATGTGGCAAGTACGAATCCAACGCCATAGCGTTGCGTCTGGCTTTGGGAGTGACGGACCGAGCCATAGAAGCATACGACGTGCTGCTAGCATTGCTGGAGACTGAATTATCCTTAAGCAAAAACAAACCGGATTGCCAGGAGAACAGATCCGCTGCGGAAACGGTCGCTAAACAATTGCTAACCCATCTGGACTCCTATCAGAGCACGGACGTTTTATTATCGCCCTGGCAGAATCATGTCTACAATAGTCCCGCCTTGGAAAGGTAAGTAATAGAGTTTTTTTGCCCACCAACTTCACAACACTCATGGTACAAGAAAACAAGGTATGTTCTTCAGTAGGACGAATTTTGGTGCACTTTCACTCATCTTAGTTGATTCCCAATCAGTCACAATATTAACATTTCAAGAAAATATTATTAATGAAAAAAACTATTTTATATGGTTTTACAATCAAATAATATATTTGTTTTATAATAAAATAAATGAAAAAAGTGTTTAATTAATTCATTTTCTATTTTATGTTCTGTATGTACCTACTCAACATTTATTTATTTATAAAGAATGAAATAAAAAGTGTCTATTGACAAGATTAACAAAATGTCATTTACTAGGAAGGTGTAAAAAAAATCGACCTGTAGTTAACCAAGGATCATCATTTCAAAGGATTGCGCCTAATATAGCAATTGTACCGTGTGTGTTTCTAAGAGTTCTGCACTGATGCAATATAAACAATTTTTTCTACTCCCACCTTTAAAACGCCCTTGTGACCTTTTAAATAAACATTGACAAGTTGTGGCTTTACGGCGCTTTAGTCACGGGCTGAAGTTAGCAACAGGTTTTTAGTCACGGGCTGAAGTTAGTTTTAAGTTAGTTGACAGTTGTCAAATGTCATACAATCGTTAAAATAAAGTGCTTTTCTTATAAAATAATTCTAAATAAATGTGAAAATTATTTTATTATCTCAATACAAAAATACAAAAGTAATAAATAGTTTCTCAACGCCAATATTTGAAAAGTTTATATGAACATTGTACTGACCTTTTAATTTCGCCGGCAGTAAACTATAACTTAAATTCGGGCACGGACTCCACTTAAAGTCCTCATAAAACATTTTCTTTACTTTCACTGTGAAAAACTGTCAATTTTCAAGAAATACATTTTGATTTATAACCTTTATAATCTGTGTTTATAAAATACAAAAATGTGACATTTGACGGTGACATACAGATTCCCCTATTGTTTCATAGATGGCGCTCTATACAAATTTTTGATTTAAATCATTTTAAGATAATAAGTACCTACTATAATATAATAATATAATAAGTACTATAATAATAATATATAAGTACTATAATAATAATATTATAAGTACTATGGTATTTGTCATAGAAAAAGTATAGTACCTATGCACCTCGTTTATAAACCTTTCTATACACTCATTAATTTAAGCAATTCGTGTATAAAAGGGCGTTTATCAAACTTAATACATAATATACTATTAAAGTAATAAATCCCATTTATTTTTTTAAAACACTGATTTGCCTGTAATATAAACTCAATAGAATCGCTCAATTGACATATTTAGACCGACAAATTATAAATGTTATTTACCGTGTTTACGGTAATTACTTGTTAATTATTATATAATATAATAATATAATTTAAATTATTAATAATAAATATTACACTCAATTTGACAGTGTCAGAGTATTTAATTAAGGTCTTCAGCAGAAGTACCATTTTTTAAATACTAAATCAAACTGGCATAAGCTACCAACAATAAAAACACCGAGACGAATAAAAAAAATTAACTGTACCTCGTTTTCTTGCACCATAACACTAAAATAACGTTTCTTTTGAATTCAAATAATGTTTCCATTCCGCATACAATAATATTTAATTGCGCCTGCGCATTTCATCGGTTTGTAAAAATGCACCTACACTTTATTTTTTTATTTTCAGCGAAGAACAATGGACCAATGACCACGAAATTAGGTTAAGGGATCACGTTTCCAGACTAAAAGCCGAAAGGAGTAACATACAGGGCACGTACGTGGTTTTAGAATCGACGCAAGTGGAGCATGCGCCAATTAGACCGTCGAGTAGTCAGGAGGCAAGAAAAATGGACCTTGAAATGGCCGTTCTGTTACAAGTAAGGCAAATAGACCAGGGTCGATAATTTTTGAAACCAAAAAAAAATAACAGTAGGATGAAACCCATTGGAAAAGGAGAAGAATATAATAAAAATGAAAGGAAAAATAAATTACGGGCGATCTGACTTCGGGAAGTGGAAGGGGGGGGGGGATTTAAGGGTAAAAAAATGGTTTATCTCGATTTCCGGCAAAACTACAAGTCCTATGGAAAAAAGTTAAATGGCAAAGTTGTAGGTAATAAAAGGATCTACAACACTTGTATTTACAATTTTTTTACATAACCTCAAAATTTATGTGAAAAATTCAAAAAAACCAAGTTTTTGGTTATTTATTTTTATCTTTTTCAAAAAAAATTTTTTTCCACGAAATTTGGTAAAAACTTACCTTTTTATGTCCCAAATACACTGTAATTTATTTGATTTGAAATATTTATTATTTCGCCTTATTTTGACTTAATATCAAAAAAGCACCCTAATTTTCAATCGAAAATTCTCGCGTCAAAATATCAGCTTTTTTCAAAAAGTCGGTGTGCTTTTTGTTCGTTGAAATCTCTACTTTCTGATGGTGTAAAAAAAATATATACATTACTAATAGTATATACATTACTAATAGTATAATTTACATGTATTTTTATATTTTATGAGATTTTCTGACATAAATGTTATTAGAATTTAATAAATAAACTTTTTAACTAAAAAAAATTGCAACAATCACATTTTTTTGATGAAATTGTACATAATGATTAAAATAAATTTTCGAATTCGAGAATTCGGGATTTACCATAGTAATTTACTATGGTAAATCCCGAATTCTCGAATTCGAAAATTTATTTTAATCATTATGTACAATTTCATCAAAAAAATGTGATTGTTGCAATTTTTTTTAGTTAAAAAGTTTATTTATTAAATTCTAATAACATTTATGTCAGAAAATCTCATAAAATATAAAAATACATGTAAATTATACTATTGAATTTAGATACTTCATTCTTATTACGTTATTCATTATAATATTTTTTATATTTTCTGAGAACATTTACCATAGTAATGTATATTTTTTTTACACCATCAGAAAGTAGAGAGTTCATCGAACAAAAAGCACACCGACTTTTTGAAAAAAGCTGATATTTTGACGCGAGAATTTTCGATTGAAAATTAGGGTGTTTTTTTGATATTAAGTCAAAATAAGGCGAAATAATAAATATTTCAAATCAAATAAATTACAGTGTATTTGGGACATAAAAAGGTAAGTTTTCACCAAATTTCGTGGAAAAAAAATTTTTTTTGAAAAAGAAAAATAAAAAACCAAAAACTTGGTTTTTTGAATTTTTCACATAAATTTTGAGGTTATGTGAAAAAATTGTAAATACAAAAGTTGTAGATCTTTTTATTAGCTACAACTTTGACATTTAACTTTTTTCCATAGGACTTGTAGTTTTGCCGGAAATCGAGATAAACCATTTTTTACCCTTAAAACCGCCCCCTCCCACTTCCCGAACTCAGATCGCCCGTAATTTATTTTTCCTTTAATTTTTATTATATTCCCCTCCTTTTTCAATGGGTTTCATCCTACTGTTATTTTTTTTCTCTTTTTACCATTTTTAAAGGCTTCTGCACTGGTCTAAAACGTAAGTGTTTTCCGTACAACATGTTAATGCGTGGCATTTTTAGGAACTAATGGGCTTGAGGGAGGACAAATCCGAACTGCTCGCCAAATTATTTGTGCTGGAGAAAGAAAAAAGCGCCGTCGAGTTAAAGTTGAAGCATGTCGAAGACCAACAGAGGGCGCAAGCTGCAGCACTAAAAAATCTGCAAGGACAGCTTAAAGACACTGAGGCTTTATTGGCTATAGCAACTCAAAATAAGGTAACCCTGATAGCAAAATTTGATTCTAAGAATCTTCTAAGAAGATATGACCTGGAATAATGGAATATTCTTAGAACCTTCCCTTATTGCTAAGAATGTTCTTAAAGACTTTTAAAACATTCAATAGATACCCTTTTAATGATGCAATTAGATTCTTAGAAGCTTCTTAAAACCTTCCTAAAAAGCATTTTAAGAACATTTTAAGAATACGTTTTTGGAATGTTCTTAGAAGGTTTCTATGGAGCTTCTAGGAAGCTTTTCAGAATATTTCCAAATATGTCAGATACCCAAGTTCTAATATGTTGGATTCTACATTAGTAAAATTCTTCAGGAGGCGGCAAATACGCCTCACTGTCATAATATGACAGTGAAATGTATTTGTCGTCCCCTTAAAAAATTTTGCGACATATTAATATATATTTATTTAAAAATATTAAATAAACAATTTGAACTCTAAACCATAAGTTGTATGACATTATTTCATAAAAAGTAAAATTGAAAATTTTGTGGGATAAGTCAGATTAGATTGATGTTGAAGATAGTTAGGATTATTTTACATAAATATGTTAATTCAGATATAAAAAAATCGGTATACAAATTAATAAATATTTATTTTTAACATAAAATAAAATATAAAAAAACAAAATATTTCCATATAAAATAATTCTTCATAAAAGAAAAAACCAAATAGTTCTTCATAAAAAAATATATTTTTCATTGTATATAAATTGGATAGAAGATTTTATGTAAAAGCCGGATAATTTAGATACCTATAGTAAAAGTATTTTTGTTATCGAATATTGTTTTAATTTGACAAATAACTATAAAAAATATTTTGGGTTTTGTTTTTACTTAGTATTTAATACTAAGTATAGGTACCTTTATACGTAGATTATGGTATATTTTACTATTATATAGGTACCTAACTGAACTGAATATGCCTAACAGAATGTTCTAGGAATATTCCTAAATGAACTTTCTATAGCAATTACTTTCTCAACATTCTAAGCATATGTTTAGAGTGGATTAATTTTTACCACTAAACTTTACACCTTCTAAGAACCTGCCAATAGGCCAGTGAGAATATTCTAAGGATTATGCTATATTTCTTTTAAGCTGGTTCTTTAGAAGATGATCCTAAAGATATTCTCACTGGAAGGTTTAAAAAACATTCTTAGAACATGACTAGAAGAAATATAGCATGATCCTAAGAATATTCCCACTGGAAGGTTTAAAAAACATTCTTAGAATAAACTGTGCTATCAGGGCTGGTTTCCATAAACTTAACAACGAGACATTTTGCATTCAATTTTAGGAACGCGGATACTCGGATGCGGAGCATGCGCAAGGGGTGGAGCTCGAACTGATGCAGGCGCTGGCAAGAGAGGCAAGACTGAAAGTTAGGTTACAGGAACTTGTTAACACGTTAGAACAAGTTACCAAAAACGCAGAGTCAAGACTTTTAGAGGGAAGAGAAATAGTACAAGATCTAAACCAAACAAATAGGTGAGTTGAATTAATTGGCATTTTTCTAAGGTTATACTTCTTTTGGCGCGTTTGGGGTGAACCCTTGTGGACATTTTTCTCTGAGAAAGTTTTAATAAGAATAAAGTTAGAATAAGACATATTAAGTACAATCTATAGTCTAACTTACTAAGACTTATTCAGGCTTTTTAAGAGAAAGTAAGACTTTAAAAACTCTTATTTTTACTTATTAAAACTTTTTCAGAGAAAAATTTCTACAAGGGAAATATGCGGACATGTGTCCCTCTATAAACTGTATGTTTCTTGGGATGAAAATAAAGTATTTTATTTATTTATTTATTATAAAATAAAGGGGTTTGACGACGAGTAGAAAACCACAAGCTGAGTGACAAATTGTCTTCAAAATTATCGAAATTTCTAAAATTATTAAAATTCTGTTCTTTCTTCGATCATTTTATGGTTTTATCTACTTACTTATGTACACTGTCTTTTAAATCATGTTTTCAACATAGCTGTGTTAACCAAAAACTTCGACAAATTAGAAAAAAGGGGACGTCAGCCGTAGAATTTTTTTGCGTAAAAGCCAATTTTCTGTTTTTTGGTGAAATTGAAAAAATCGCTTGACTTTGTTAAACCAGATTATCAACACCATGGTGCAATAAAACGAGATATGTATCTTCTAGAAGAATAGAATATTGCGCAATTTTTAAGCTATATCGGATATAGTATATCCAAGGCTGTTTTTTTTTTATTCAAAAGATATGGTCGAAAAGGTCAAAAAGCAAATCTAACGAAAACCTCATTTTCGTCATCTAAGTCGAACTTTAACGTCGACTATTTCCCTCGTCTTAATTTCCACCAATCACAAACGCGCAATTTTGAATTACAAATGGTTTCTAGGTGGAAAAACTGTACGACAGCACCTGTCAGCAGTTTTTTCGAGTTTACCCGCGTCAAAACTTGACAGCTGTTGTCACCAAAATTGAAATTTTTATTTTAATTGTACCAAAGTTTGTAGTATTTTGTGATTAAATAAATTATCTATTTTTCAGTTTTCAAACTAATTCCTACATATTTATAAGGTAGTAAAACATTTTTTCATATTTGTAATAGATGGCGCGGTTATAAAAAAAATCAATTTTGTTCGATTTTTCTTCTGTATACGATTCTGCAATAATTTTTCTATAAACACGATTTTTTAACTAATGTATAGTTTCCTTTGGTTTAATTTTTATATATTATTTCATTCGGTGATAATTATCAATTGCGCACCATGGTCACTTTTTACCTGCCAGCATTAAATCCTTTAATTTAAAGGATTATTGTACTATTTTTAATAAAAATACCTCATTTAAGGTAAAAAACATTATTTTGTCAATTAATTAATTTAATCCTAATTGAGGTATAATAAAAGGTATTTAGTTATAAATAATAATTATTATTGAGGTATAAAGAAACTATTTATACATTGTTTAGCAATTACTTAATCAATTTAGTTCGAAGATTAATTTGCAAACAAAAAGACCTCCTTTCGTTAAGCAGTTATTCATAATGGATTTTTGTGGAACAGTACACCGTACAGTCAAGCAGTTTACTACAAACGGGAGTGTTCAACCAAAAAAAAGAGTTCGTCGAACAACAGTCACAGGTGAAAATAATAAAATTAATGTATAAGCAGCAACGGCCGCTAATCCTTATACAAGCACACGAGAATTATCTAGAGATTTGAGAAAATCCCAGAGCAGTGTTGGCAGAATATTAAAACAAAATAAATAAATAAATTTAAAAAATAAAACCAAGTATTTTATTAAAAAATTATTGGAGAATCGTGTACAGAAGAAAAATCAAACAAAATTGAATTTTTTTTTATTACAGCATCTATTACAAATATGAAAAAATGTTTTAGACAAAATCTACTAATCTATTTTTAGTCGAATGATGCAATAAAAAATAGGGTGTTCCATTGGAAATTTAAAATTTTTATTTTTCGTTAAATTTGCCTCTTGACCTTTTCGACCATATCTTTTAAATAAATGATTCAAACAACCTTGAAGATACCTTAAAATTTTATTCTTCAAGAAAAAGTATAAACAATTATTGTTCATATCTCGTGTATTGGTGTTGATAATTCAGTTTGAATGATAATGGGAAAAATATCCCAGCTTGTAAGACAGTGTTATTTGTGTAAAGAGTGTAGTTCCACCAAAGAAGTATAACTTTAAACACGCGTACACAAGTACATGCACCGCTTTTTTTAATCTTGACATTTGTTTTAGTATATTAGCGGATACTGTAGATAGAAACAATAAAAAATATCAAGCTAAATTTAAGAAAATGGAACATCAGATGTTAACTTTGGTAGAAAGACATAGTGCACAGGTTTTATCACTACAAGAGAAAATAGCAACTTTAGAACCGATTAAAACAACAAATAGTACTGATAGTACTTTATCTGCTTAGTTTTATTAAAACTGATTTTGTTTTGATGTAGCTCTATTGTTATATTTAATAAACCATTGTTATGAACAAAGGTTTAAATAAAATGTATTTAAAAAAAATCTAATTTTACAGAAAGTTTTAAAAATCAATTGCTTTATTTTTATTTTTTTTACCAAACATAAAAAATATTTTTACATAATATGTAGTCATATTAAAATTTTAATAATATTAAATTTTTATTTATTACCGACTTTTACAAAATAAGCAATGTCAAAGTGTAGTACATTTTTGTTTAATATTGTTAGCTTTTATTAAATATTAATGGTCCAATCTACTCACTATTAATAACAATAAAAATTGTATTATGAATGAAAAATCAATATCAAGTTTTATTTATTTTACGTGTAAAATACATATGTATTTTTAAATAAAAATGTTTTTACAACTTAAACTAATAATTATTATCGTTTATTATATTCATTTGTAAAAAGACCATTTTTAAATATCCCCATTTTAAAATCAGTTATCTACATATCGTTGGGGACAAAAATAATGCTTAAAACCAAACCTAATTAACCAGTTTATTAGGGTGCAACAAAACATTCTTAATGAAACATTTTTGCCACAAAAACGTAGCATTGTTAATGAAATGCGTTTTTCAAAAATTAAAACTCCCCTTTACAAAATATAATGTTAATGTGAATTAAAGTGCTGAAGCTTTTTTGTTATTGATAAATGTTTCCTTCGTGTAGTACAAAAGTCCTATGTCTTGCCATAATAATTATTATACCTGCTTTATCATTTAAACTATGTATGTAAATCCGATTATTTACTTAAGTATTAAAATGTAAAATTTGTAATCTATTATAAATTAGTTATTGAAAGTATATAAATAAATATGTTTACAATTGAAGTTTTATTTTAAATTTAAAAAAAAATATTTGATATCCTTTTTTATTTCTTCACGAGTATTTACAGGGGGCTTAAAAACTAAATCCATCCACCCGCACAAGACAAAAATCAAAGGATTTAGTTTTGTTTTATAAGGCGTTAAACTTAAAAAATTACTTTTTTTATTACCTACACTTTGTAGAAAAATAAGTATTTTGCTCTTATTTATAAACGTAAAGCTTTGGTTTTTTATTAATAAATAAATAGACTTTGCTGTAAAACACACAAAAATAGTTTATGCCTATTAGGTATTTTTATATCCCAGATAGCACAAAGAAGTACTAAAAACGTCCTGAGTATATCTTGTATCAGACATTAGTAAGTTCCGAGTACGTCCGAATCAGGTCCTGAACCTTCCCCAGGACGTTCCAGGGATATCCGATGATACCAAATCGTCGGTCCCCAGAACGTCCTAAGGAAGACATCCTCTGGCCATCCTGAAATGCTTTATTGGGGACTAATGGACAAGCTTTACAGAATTGAAGAGTGGTATTCCCAAAGGCCCAGACAGCAATATTACGTCTTAATTAAGTCTTATTTTATTAATTTGTTAAATGGATTTTATTAAAACCATTTTAATAATTTGCTCGTATTCGCTTATTTTAGGAATTGCGATTACTTCGTCCCACTTAAGTGAAGAGCACGCTTAAATTTAAACAAAATTTTGTTTAAATTTAAGCGTGCCCTTCACCGGCACCGATAGACGGCCTGTTTTCCTCTTTTGGAGCTCGTCAGTATCGGGTAGCCGTTTACCTAGGTCTAAGACCGTTTGGTATGAAGCACGCTCTAAATTCTACTTCGCCTCTTCTTATATCAAACACAAGCAGTTACAGCGGTGAGAAGAAAGAATCGCATTAAAATGTCATAAATGTGACGTCTCCATGTTGACGTCTTAAAGAGTTAATAATATGATTTCCTTAGAATAAAAAACAACAGGAAGGAGTCTTGTCATTCTTTAGCCGTACTAAAATTGCGTCGGAAGTCGGCCATTTGCAAGCTCCAAATTATGACACATTGTGATGCTATATTTGTCAAAGTTGAATGTTTTATGTGTTTGTCGGTGTTTTATGTTGTTTTTCTGGTTAAATTAACTTTAAATAAGCGTTTCATTGTTTCTAGACAATATTGTATTTGATATATTCTCGTTTAAGTGTAAATATTTAAAGTTTAAGATATAAATATTAGTGTAAGGTGTAAAAACCACAGGTCTGTGGTAAAAACAAATTATGGTTAGTTGTGCAGCTTGTGGTTGCTCCTTGAGCACAAAAAATTAAAAATATTCATTTACATTTCATAGGTGAGTATTTTGGTTAACGTTTAATTTATTTACTTATTGTAGGTATATTTTAAAATAATTAGTTGTAAATATTAAACAAAAATCAATGTCAAATAACGTAACCTTAGAACATAACCATAACCTAAGAACGTAACCATCATAGAAAAAACCATAGGCGTATCATATTTTCTGATACTAACCTAATTATTATAAAAATTAAACTTCAATTGTATTTACTACGCCACTGTCAAACGGAAACAACCATCCGCCATATTGAAGCTCCACTTTGGACCCAAGGTCATTCATTAAACGCTCCTTCCTGTTGTTTTTTGTTCTAAGATGATTTCAGTAAGAAGTAAGAAAAGAGAATACTGTAAGATATCATATAACTAAAGTCTTATTTATGATACCTACCCTTAGTAGCTTCTAATTTTGATTTCAATAAGAGGTCAGAAAAAAAGATACTTTAAGATGTTAAAAAATTTACTTCTTATTTATGAATTCATCAAGAACTCTTAATCTTGAGCTCCTAAAAATGATTTCTCTAAGATGTCATATTGTGACCTCAGTAAGATGTTTTTCAACAGACTTCGTATAGAAATCTTTCTGAATTGGATGCTGCCTGGGGGGTCTAAGTTACAAAAATAAAATTGTGAGTTATCAATGAAAAACAAATATTTTGCAGATGTAAATGTTGAAATGTCTGAAACACGTTTGGAATTGCATATTCCGCTCTCCTGAAACCGTCAAACTCGCCTTCGGCTCGTGTGACAAACTCTTCACTCGAGCGGATATGCTGTATTCCAAACTTGTTACAGAATATACTATTAAGTCATTCTGCATGACACAAACAATTTTTAAATGATAATATATTATTTAACCAACTTCCCAAGTAGCACAGTATATGATATTCATATGCTCCAGACCTTCCCGATATGTCTAGTATATACCTGAGGTGATATTCATGTTCCTATCATATTATCGAAAGCATATGAAAAACAGATTATGCTGTTCCTAAGAATATCATGTACCTATACCGAAACACAAATATTACACGACATCTCAAGAATTCTGTTAACATCCTAATTGCGTCTGTCGACAGACGCAATCGGATCCGGGCTAATTTGTCACCAGTTAACATAATTATGATGCAAAGTAACAACTTTAATTAACTTTCACCTGTAATTTGTCACCTGTCATTTACCACCTGTCATTTGTCACTTGTCATCTGTCACCTGTCCTATGATGAAAGGTGACATATATCTGTCAGCTACATAATATAATAGTTATAATACAATGTATTATATAGGTTTTAAAAAAATGTTTTTGTCAAGTTTTGCGCCAAATATTTAAAAAAATCCAGTTCTTCATCTCTATAAAAAGATTACAATCAAAATAATTATTATTTTATGTATCAAATAATAATCATTATTATCTAATAACTATTGTAAATACTTAATTGTTGCTATAAACCATGCAGGGAACAATAATAATTAATAACAAAATTATTTATAATTTCTAAAATTTTAAATTTCGCGGTTTAATGTAATTTTCTGATTCGGATTGCTTCGTTGAGCGTCGTCCTCTCTCGCAATCTTCGAGTCTTTCGACATCTTTACAAGCTAACGCGACTTGGCCGCCATTAGTGAACCTGTTGCGCGATTTGAGCCGGCTATGCCATGTGCCTTTTCGTTTTTCTATAAATTATATAATATCTAGTGTGTATTGTGATCTAGTGAAGATTTGGATTCCAAATTTGGAAGTAGAAGATCCCCTGTATCTATTTAAATAATAAAGGAATAATATTTTTAAAAATTGTCTGTAATTTCTGAGGGTCTGCAGAAAATACACTTTTATTTTTTCGCAATAATTGTGGGACACCATGCATTTAATATATATATATATATTTATATATTAAACTGCACTGTTACCTGAAGTTGAAACAGGATTGTAATATTCCATACGCAATGAAAAATATATCTCTATCATATTCCAAAGACTGCCAAATTCACATGATATGCAGCTGAAATACCTTACCATTTTCATGTGCATAGGATATGCCCTTGACCTGAATATCATAAAAATTCATATGATATTCAGATTCCATTTGTTTCCGTCGGTATATGAAATTCATATACAAATCATATAACTGTGCTACTTGGGTTGGCACTTAGACCCTTTGGAAATACAATGCTTCAATTACGTCCTTGGGACGTACCCAGTATATCCGCTATAATTTTCCCAAATAAGGAAGAGACTGGACGTACCCAAAACTTCCGATATAGGTCTAGGACGTTCGGACCTATGTGGGACCCGAAATGGACGTCCTGGGTACCTCTTGTGCTATCTGGGTAGTAGCTTCTAATTTTGATTCCAATAAGAGGCCAGAAAAAAGATACTTTAGGAAGTTACAAAAATAAAATTGTGAGTTATCAACGAAAAACAAATATATTGCACATGTAAATGTTGAAATGTCTGAAACACGTTTGGAATTGCATATTCCGCTCTCCTGAAACCGTCAAACTCGCCTTCGGCTCGTGTGACAAACTCTTCACTCGAGCGGATATGCTGTATTCCAAACTTGTTACAGAATATACTATTAAGTCATTCTACATGACACAAACTATTTTTAAATGATAATATATTATTTAACCAACTTGGCACTTAGACCCTTTGGAAATACAATGCTTCAATTACGTCCTTGGGACGTACCCAGTATATCCGCTATAATTTTCCCAAATAAGGAAGAGAGACTGGACGTACCCAAAACTTCCGATATAGGTCTAGGACGTTC